ATATATGAGCATATAAGGTTTCACTTCAAAACGCAATAAACGCCTAAACTACAGGCAAGGATGTCCCGGGTTCAAATCCTGGATTTTTTTTCGGTTTTCATAGAGTTCTATCAGAGATGGACTTAAAATTCAGAGGTGACACCGCCTCGTAAATGACCTTACTTACAGTGTTGCATGGGGCGTTTTAAAACAAAAAACCAAACGGAAACTTACCTAAGGGTCAATAGAAGTCTTTCTCGTGGGGATATTGCCTGTTGAAAGTTTGTATCTTGTTTGCGAATATCGTCTTGGACAGCAATTAAGAGCTCCTCGAAAGAGGCTCTGCTCATCCGAGCATAATTATAAAATTTATCTTCATCATCACACAGTTGAGGGTACAGCTTAGCCATGACCCCTCTGCGTTCTCGCTCTTGGTTTATTGGGTGAGCGCGAAAGCGTCGCTTTCTTTTTTCACTCGATAGCACATAAAGAGCAAGAGCGATTCCAATATCTTCATCTGAAGATGAATCCATTGTGGCACTCGCTCACCGCACTCAAACAAGAGGCAAGAGTCAATAACAGAGCCGATAGATCTAGATGCGGCGATCAAAGATTATCTACTACCGTAGCCTTCTATCGTACCAAAGATTCTCAACTTTGATCGTACGTATACAGGATCTTCGAGTAGAATACGCACACAGTACGCTACCTAAAAATAGCAAGGCAGATCAGTCAGTTGCACACACCTAGGCTACAGGCGCCAAAACACAGTGCGGCTGTGCTCTGTGCTGACACGCAGCGAGCGTCAGATTCAGACCGTGGCCTTCGTGATAACACAGGCCCAGGCCACGCTCAGACAGACGTAGCCTACAGCACAGCAAAGCCACTCTCACAGTCTCAGTCTGGCTGGGTCCATCCTCTCGCTGACTCTCGCTGTGGTCGGTTATACGGTGTCCCCACTGCCCATTACGGATGGGAGATCGGCCGATCGCCTAAAAAACAAACGTGTTTGATTTCAGTTTCAGGCGATCGAGTCGGGCGATCGGCCCGATCCAGCCGTAGTGGGCACCCCGTATTAGGCGAAGTAAGAAGGTTTTAGTAGTTTTACCTTGAGGAGTAGGCCTGACTATTAACTCTTTAAAACTTAAAGTGTTGGACGAGTTAAGGACGAAGCGTACACATGTGTCCGACCGTATGCTAGCAAGAAACAGACAAAAGGCAATGTTGCGGCACATTTAAATACAGCATGCACAAATCAAGTACATGAATTTGCATTATATTTCATTGAGTGCGTATTTTTTGCCTGCCTCACTGAAGCTTCAGATGTAAAGCAAACAGAATGGAAAAATCTGCATAAATTATAACAAAGTTAAAGTCTATTTTTAAAGTACTCCAAAACAACGCGTGTCTTCAAAGGGTTAACTCCAATACCACAGACGTCGGTAGGCCATGAGGTACACAAACATTACAACAAAATACAAGTGCCGAAGATTAGAGGTGTTAAAAGAGAGTAACAAACACACAAAAAGGAGATCAGAACGAGATGTTTGGTATGGAAGAAGAAGCAAACCACACCAGACCACCCGCCAACCACACACGCGTGTAGTGTTGCTCATGGATAAAAATAAAAGTAGTCTGGGATAGAGAAAAGGAGAAGCAGAGGGTGGCCTCGAGAGAAGAAAAATTTATAGATGAAGATGTGGGGGAAAGGTGGGTGGAAAGGAGGGAAGGGGTGAGAGAGAGAGAGAGAAGGGGCAAGAGGGAGATATCTCGAGATTGCTGATTTGGAGAGGGGGGAGGGAGGGGCGGGAGAGACATGGTGGAGGAGAGAGAAGAAAAGATACGAAGGGGAGGCAATGACCTAACTGTATAACTTCTTTCAGGGGGGGGGACAAGAGGA